GAACTAGGGCAGCATCGGTTACTGTTTTAACCTAACTCGTCACACTCCACCGGAGTTTGCCGTCGTATCATTGATGTCAGGGTAGAACACAACCGACCGCCGACTTGATGAAGTCATCGTGGGCAACTACGTTCTATCCGAATCCACCGCATAGACCATGCTTATCCATGCGACCATGCCGCACAGAGCACATAGATGTCAAAGCTGTGCTACAGACACTTTCCACGTCCGACTTTAGCCGTACATGGCACGACTTTAGCATACAGCCGATGCCCGTTGCAAGGAAGAGAATTTTATTTGCTTCAGGCTTGGGCGGAGTGACGAGAAATACGCATGTCCGACCCGAACAAATGACTACATGCACGTACACATGAATGTACACAGGTGTGTACATGATGTATAAATATATATACATATATACATATATATAATGTATATATGTATATGCACACATTTGCGAATATCCGTGCTGTACCATGCTATAAATATTGTTTAGCACGTGTTAGACTCGACAGCGCACAGAATTGCATCATATCGATTGTGAGGCGACACTCCGGCACGGACTCTCTCGAAACTTCACCATCATCCACAGTAGGTGCACCAGTTTAAGTCTAGCTTCACATGAGTTCGACCGCAGCACACAGTGTTCTCACGACGGCATAGAAATCTACATATTTGTGCTTCCTCCTGGCATTACAAATGTTGCGAGGAGGTGAAACAACTTTGGCTCGGCGCCATTACTGCAACGTCCCGGCCTCGGCGGCCCGGGTGCAATAGCAAGAGTGTGGTTGACCGCTTAGGATGATGCAATCGGCCACGGACGCCGGCTTTCCGAACGAGTCCCACTTCGTGCCGGGCACTCATTAGCTCTGTCGCTGTTTCGGTGGCTTATCCAAAAAACATGTGTTCGAACTAAGCTGTAAGCGCATCCCAGATTTGGTCATCGGCTCTGTGGGTCTTGTTTGAAGTGGCTTACCTAAACAGGTGTGCGAAGAAGGTTGTAGGCACATTCGGGCTCAATTATCAGTCCTGAGATATCTTCAGTGACTTACCAGAACAAGCGTTGGAATGATGTTTAAGCGCATTCAGATTTGTCAGCTCCGTCGGTATCCTCAGTGGTGCGTCCCAAACAGGCGCAGAATTGTTGTGTATCGACGAAACCAAATGCATTTCTTCTCGGGTAGGCTCTTCAGCATGACGAACGACATCGAAGACTGGCCCGGCACCACGTTATCAAGATCTTGAGCACTGTTGAATACAGCCCGAGGCTGGCACGAACGAGTTACTCCTTCTTTTACTGGGACGGGGACTTCGAGGAAAGCACGCAGGGACCTCGAACCTGCGGGAGACTCTTAACTTCGCTGCGCCAGCTGAGGCAGCTGGCTCGAGTGATGAGGTCGTGGCTGTTCGGGGATTGCAGGCCGAAGCGTATTTTCCTAAGGTCTGCTTCGTCTCTTATGCACGTGCACGCATGTGTGTGTGTGTGTGTGTGTTCAAAATGCGCTCTTAAGACGATGCAGTAATCCTTCGCTGGAGTACGTTCTGACGGAGCCAGCGCTGGAGCCTCAGGTGTTTTCTCTATCGTGATCGCATCAGGGCGTGTCAAATAGAGAATAACTCAGTGGCAGAAGGACGAGCAGCAATTGCATCATGTCACGATGGACAAGACTGTTGCAAGCTCCAGGACGAGCGCTCGCCCTTTGCGACCTTTGAATCTGAACCCAAGAGGAATACCCAGGGGAGTGAATTCCCAAGGCGAAAACTTTAAGGAGTGAATCCAGCAGGACTTGTCCCGAAGACGATAACCCTAAGGAGTGAATCCAGCAGGAACCCTTGACCGAAGGTGAACACCCTAAGGAGAAGAAATTAAGAGTTAGTGGCTTGGTGCTAAAGACACCAAACAAGTTACAACTAAGATGCCTGTCTTGCAACCTTTGCAGAGATTTGCTGTTTTCGGAGCCAACAATAGTTACAACTAAGTAATTTGCTGGAAAAGCTTGAAAGATACATCTAAGAGAAAATAGTTACAACTAAGTGTTTTACCTGCATCTCACGTTCAAGCTCTAAAGGCAAGCCCGAAATGCACGATGGGCGATGGATGCAAGTTCTTGCTGAACCCCCCCAAGAAACCCGCTGCGGACGGCTCGAGATCTGTGGATGAAGTTGGGCTACTGCTGGTAGCAAGGGCAACCAGGCCATCAGCTCGTGGCTTGTCCGGAACCTGCACAGCCTGACACACCGACGGCACTTCCATTGCCAAAGGAAAAGTTCAGAGTTGGGCCGCAGCAGGAATAACGAGATGCCAAGGAGGCAACACAGGGACGCTGGAAAAGAAGATTGAATTTGATTGTGTGTGACACCTCAGACTCCGGATGGGACCAGAAACGTTTCACAGCCTTCATTTGGTCTGATCAGACTCTGGCGGCTGCTGTACTTGCGAGTGCCTGGGTTGTATCTCTAGTCGTGGTGGCTTTCTGAAGCTAGCCCGCAAGTCTTAAGAACAAGCGTACCAAGATGTCCCTCGGATTAGCCGACAGGTGTCTTCTCCTGGACCCCCACCGCCAGTGTCCAGCAGGATGCTGCGTGCCGACACCTTACACCAAGCCTTATAGTAGCGTTCATGATACGAGTAGGACTGCTGGTCCTTGCCAACAAGGTTGAAGTTCGAGGTCTTCTGCACGATTGGCAGTTGTCCCAGACCTTGACCAGCCATGTGGCTTTGCGCGTCCAGCTGAACGTAAGATGCGCGTGCTTTGTCACAGGTTTGACGTGGGTGAAATGGGTGACTTCATCCGCTCGCCCGAATTTGCTGGAACTCTGCGTGCTTGCCTCACCCTTCCTGTGGTGTACCGTCTGGAGGATAGCGTCTTTCAACTGTGACGCTCCTGCAGGCGAAAACGTGGCGCGCTATTTCAGCGTACCCTTCGAGCTTGGTGCCCATCATGTGTGGGAGAAGAGCTTGGCTTTACAATGGCTGAAACTGTTCAGGAGACAGGCAATATACGACGAAGTGCAGTTCTCAGGGTGTTGCGCAGCTGGCGTCTGGATCTTGTGCAGATGGAAATATCGGTGCTTCTTCAGGATGGGCTCTTAACGAGTACTGCCGACTTTAGTCCCTTCCTTGGTTTCGTTCGGGGGAAATGGTTTGAAATGGTTTCTTCAGGTACAGTAGCAGCAGAAGTGACGCTTTCTAGGCCGAGCTCTTCAGAAACTGTACCCCAAGCTCTTCATCTACGACTTGGACGAGATGGGTTCTTCCCTTAGCTGCACCAAGGTCTTAGGATTTGCGAATTTGGCGTGCCTTCCGAGGTCCGGAGCTGCGCGCACGAGCGGCATGTGGCCCAGCGTCGTGTCACAATGCCGTGGACGTGACTATCCCTCCGCCATCGATTCGCCATGGTTCCTGGCTCTCAGGTTGACGAGCTCCGTCAAATCGATGCAGACGTGGAGCAGCCCTGGGCTGAGGAAGTTTTGATCTGTAGGCAGGCGGAGCGGCACGGCGCTTCTGACACCAGCATCTTGATGGTGATGCTCTCGCAGGTCCTGGAAGCAATTCGGCACCAAGCAGCCGATGCGCACCAGGCAAACGTGGCAAGACGTTGCAGGCAGCGCATCGCTACGCCGTCACTCCCCCAGTGTTTTCATGCGATTGGAGCCTGATCAGGGCCTTCTTCAGCGACGGTCAAGCCGCAGGAGACTTGTTTGCTGTTAAGTGACAGAATCTAAACTACCGAACTACCACACCAGCGACGTCATGTTTCTTGCACTGTATCCCGTGGAACTCCTTGACAAGATCCCCGGAAAGGAGCTCGGCTGTGGTTTTCAAGTGATCGTTCTTGCTCGGCTGCTCGAGAGGATGTCGCGACTGTCGTGTACGCTCTCAATGGTGATGGGATCCCAAAGCAGGCTCTGAGTCCCGAAATCAGGGAGCTGCCGAGACCCTGGATCCCAACCACAGAGATTCCCCTTTCGCCCCCTTGTCCTTCAAAGGTCTGGTGCATCGAGCACGACGCAGACACTGCAGCCAAGAGTCATCTCGAGGTCTGGCGCCAACCCCTATGTCAAGATGCTGCATGATTTCTCGATCGTCTTGTCCTCTTTTGCCTGTGCACTCGATAGTAGTGGGACCCCCGAAAGCGACAGAGACCGGTATTCGTGTACATGTCAACGTACATACTGAATGGCTTAATCGGTGGGTAGAGGGGAGACCCACCAGGCATGCGGCAGAAAGCAGGAGGAAGCGCGCTCTCTGTTTGAACGGCCTCACAACGGAGATCTCACTTGGTCATGTTACTGAGGTGGAGACCGCTAAGCATGATTCTTTAGCAAGTTGTAAAGATAGAATCAGATGGAGTGAAATTGAAAGTTACTGCATGCAGGGGTCAAGCGGACGTGCAAGCATGCACTCCTACGAGGAGTCTGGCTGAGCAAAGCTTGTCCACAGGGCACAGCGATTTTGCACGAGGAGTGCCGAGCACATCGTCCCCGTGCGAAGCACCTCTCGCAGGACTGCGCTGGCAGTCGTCGGAGCCAAGCTAAAATTCATTGTGATGCGGTGCTGTCAGGATCATTGCCTCGCATGTTGCCGTGCCCCCGGCGGCTGCTGCGGCCAGGAGTCCTGTCGACGTTGTTTCGGCTTGTGGGTTAGATACGGTTAGATGTTAGATCTATGCCGAAGATGAAGCCTGGGAAGGATGCTGGAGCAAGCTGAGCTATGCAGCATCTCTCCGAGGACCCAGGGCGGGGGCACGCATATCAAATGAGCACTCACCGATGAGCGCCTTGCATCCGCTTGGCGCCCATTCCCTTGCCGGCTTCCTGGCAGCTTCGCAGTGGCAGGATACTGACAGCAACCCCCTCAACTTCGCTGCCGCAGAGGCCTGAGCTCTGCAGCGTTCCAGAAGCAACGGAGAGATTTCGACAGAGTCACGGTAGAGACGATGATATCTTTGGCTGCAGGACCAACGGGGTCACGAGCTCCCCAAGGTGCAACCCGTGTGACCAGGGGTACAGTGACCCATCGAAAGAACTGAGCAGGAAGTCTGGAATTCATGCGGGGCTGAGTCCATGAAGCTCTGTAGAAATAAGCCAGAGACCTTCTGGCAAAGACGTGCCAAGTGGAAACGTTCAAGAGGTTCCAATGGAGCAGCCTGTGACGTTCGACAGCTCGTGGATGCTACGCCGCCCCAAACGAACGCTCAAGCCGGCTGCAACAACTCGGAAGCCTCTGCGTTGAAGGCTAGCGCCGGTGCAACAAAGCCCTTTGAGGCCGGTCTGCGACCGCCAGTCCAAATGTCATATAGTTTGATTTTTGTTTTTGGGGTTTAGGGTTTAGCTGACTCAGCAGAGTCTGGGTTCCAAAAAGGGGTTTGGGTAAGCTGCTGCAACGCTGTAAGTACCTCTCTGCCAGCCACTGGCCTTGACTCAACTCAAGGCCAGTGGAGCTCCACGCCTACACACCCAGGCAAGGCCCATGTCGCCCACGGGCCCACTCTCCCAACGTGGTAAATCCAAGATCCTCAGCATGTGCCCACACATTGCAGGACACAGCCAGCGTTGTCTGCAACCCCAATATCAGTGCCGACCGCACTGACACCCAGGCGCGCCAGTACGGTCGTCAAAGATCCGGCAGTTTGTTCGAGAGCTGCCAGGGGCATTTCCCCTCGGATGCAGTGCAGGACCTTCATTCCTTCAGAGTAGTAATTCGCAAACTGACTGCCGACCACAAGTGTAACTGCAGCCGTATCGTCTCCCTTATCTTCCCTGCCCACGCTTTGCAGTGAAGGCCTTTAATATGAATCTGGAGAGTTTTAGAGGCCGAGGTTGGCTTTTTGGAGGATGAATCAGCAGAGACAGATAGAGAGCGAGCAGCCTTGGAGGAGTGTATCTCCGTGCATTTTGCCAGACAGGCAGGTCACTGGCAACATGTGCACGCACTTTAGGCTTCAGAACATGGGTGTATGCAGTTTGGAAGCCGCACCGTAAACCAAACAAGGGGAGGCGCAGTCGGCTGGGTAGTTGGCCGACAACCAGGTCCAAGCCCCTCGCCTAACCTTGTCAGTGGCAGCTCTGAGCCAAAAAACCCTGTAGCTTTCGATTCCAAGTGATTGCAGGCCGAGCTTCTCGGCAACAGCGTTGCCCCAGGCCCGGTTCCAAATTTTTCTTCGGCCCCTGGTGCAATAATGTAACGCTTGGTCAGGGATGCAGCGGCCCCGGCCCTTCTCCACAAATTCATGCGGCCACAGACCGAGACACGAACTGGAGGACTGGTCGTAGTGACGGGCAGCTGTTTAGCCTGGGCTGAGGCTTGGCTTGACCAGCTGACTCCGCGAAGGTCCCTGACGCCGATGCCTGCGCAACTGCCGCAGGCCTGCAAGCAAGGCGGACTGCCTCCGCCTCCAGGGATTTCATTTACCTTGAAACCGGAGTTGCCGCGGCTGCAGCTACAGCCCATGAGCCTCATGAGCTCTGTGAGCACGCCGCAGCTGCTTCCCGTTTCGCCCAGGGTTCCAGGGCTTTGTCCAGGGCTTGGCCCAAGCTAATGTCAAGACGACCTGCGAGCGTCAAAGAACCCGGCAGAGGTGAAAAGGAGGTGCTGCACAGATACGGCCTGATCGGAGAGATGTGGTGAGTGAATTCAGATCCGAACCCAAAGCTTGCAGAACCGAGTCTTTGACCTTCCAAGCATTGGGTCTCAATCGCAGCTATCAGCAGACAATTTGGGAGGGTATCACAGTATCACTATAAAGACTTATACTGTCCTGTCGTCGACGTGTTAAGTGGGTGAAAAAATACTGTACTGCGTCGAACCCCGGAAAGTGTGTCAAGTAAAGACACCTCATCAAAACAAGACGCCGTTGAGATCAAGTGGGCTGATGCAGACTGCTTGAAGTCTAGTTCCTGGCGAGTTCTCGGCACGTACATGGTGAGTGCCACTGGGGGCACTTAGGTTGTCAAAACATGGCTGCAGCTGCTTTTCCTCTCTCTCAAAGGCAAAGGAGGAGCCGCTGATGTTTCTTGTGAGAACGTTGGACGAAAAAGCTTTCAGTCGAAAGAGAAGTAGTCCAACAGGAGCACTAAAGTCGTCGAGCCCCAAGGAGGATTATGTTGCACACGCCCTGCGCGAACCGATGCACAAGGCCTCTGAACGGAGACGGTGCTCGACAACAGCTTAGATGCTGAGCCGACCAAAGACGCGACACGGACAAGCCTTGTCCCAACGTTGTTAAAGAATGAGACCGGGACCGTAACGTTGGAGAAGATGTTTTCCAGTAAGGGTGAGTGTAGAAATTCCCGGATGGGCCAATCAGCTCAAGTTTCAAACAGCAAACCGCTTTCGGGCGACAGTGTGTGCAAGATGTCCTCTTTCCGGTGCTTTCAGCCTGAGTTCACGTCAGAAGTTACAGTAGTTTGGGAACTTCCTGCAGCCATGGGCATGTCAATGTGACTAATGTAACCTCCGTGTGGTGCTTGTGTTGATGCAGCAGTTTGAGTCTGCTTTCTTGTTCGCAACTTCGCAATGCTTCAGCATACCAGATGAGATTGGACAATCCGGTCTTATCACAGCTGTGTGCAGCATGTGGCAGGATCAACCAAAACCGCCCGGAGTTCACGGTGCCCCTGATAGGACGAGGGAGAAGAAGGTTATGTCATGTAAATCTATAGCGATAAGCTTGCTCCTTCCTGTCGCGCTCCTCGACAGTGTTTGCGTGCATGCATATGGCATGGCATTCTTTGCAAACTGCCGCCTTTCGTGGCGCATCTGTACTTCATCGATGCTCTTTGTGGACGGCTGCATGGATCGTGTCTTTGAAGTGGTGGCTTTGGTTAGCGACTTTGCTCATCTTCCAGATTCCGGGGTGGGCCCATCGCTTAGGTCATACTTCCCCATTTCACAGTCATCTATAGATCTGTTCCAAGGGGATCAAGCGAACTCAACATGTCGATGCACGAACATGAATAAGATAAATTAATTAAAAGATTTGATCTTATCTTGAAAGAGCCGTGACGTATCTTATTGAAATATATAGGATAGCTTGCAATATTTAACAAGCAGGATTTCCTGAGGTTTAATTTTGGTGGATAGAATTCTTATATAATTGATTTGGTCGTAATTCGGTTCTAGGGAATGACGAATAATTTCTCTTGGATATATTGAAAATACAAAATATTTTATAATATTAAGTAGAAAAGTAAATTCTTGATTTTTGAATTTAGATTCATTTTGAAGTCAAGTATAAGAAGAATTCTATCTAAATATATATATATATATATTAGTTCTTATTTAATTAATTGGAATCTAAGATTTAAAGATGAAGAATTTTATTCGATAATTTCTCGAATAGAAGAGATACGTTAGCTTTGATTAGGAGAATAAATATATAAAATAGGACGAAAAGGGCATTGAATTTAAATAGGTATGATAGGACTTCTAAAAATCTATTATTTTTTTGAATAGAAATATTATAAGATTTAGTTGATCTAAACAATATAATAAAGAAATAAATTTCATATGCAAGTAATTTCTATTTTATAAAATGCTATGGTCATTTTGATTCTAGGTGGTATAGTACGCTTCGGGGGCACTTAGTTTCAAACTTTTAGAGAAATTTATAGAATATGGTGCGCGAGCCGGTTCGGCCTATCTAAGACCTAAAGTTTCTGGAAAATTTAGAAGCTCGGGCTGTAGCTTTGGAAGGGCGGGGGCCTCTTCGGTGGCCTCGGGCTAGCCCTGTCTTCTAAATTTTTGGACAGTAGTTCGACGCTTCGGTCTCGAAATTTGCCGAAAATTTGCAGTTATCGGTTCTCTAAATAGATTTAAATGCTGAAAATTTTTAGAAAATTTAGAGAATGAGTACAGTCTTCTAATATCTTATATTCTAGATGCAGAATATATATTACAACTATTTTATACTCTTATATTAGACTCTCGTGCCACAGCAATTCATGCGGAAAACCGATTACAAGGATTTTCTTATGTAGTGCTATGGAGAGCCCTTGCATGCGAAATTTCAATATTTGTTTGTCTGTCCGTCCGTCCATTTGTCTATCTATCTGTTTCTCTCTCTCTATCTCTCTCCTTCTATCTCTCTATCTCTATCTCTATCTCTCTCTCGGCTGATATTTGCTCCCGCCAGGGGAATTATGAAGGAGAATTATCTATGCGTAATATAGTTTATTATAAGAGATTCTTAATTTAATGATTGCCATTAGCTCTTATATAGTTAGGTCGCAGCTAGTGATGAATTGCTTATATCTTTATTTATATAAAATATTTCGTGTCTTGATTATAATTCTGTCCTCGACTTTCGGAATAGCATTCTATTCTAGATGAAATTTGTTTCAAGATATTCTCACTTCAAGCTTGGCTTCGCCTTTGATATAGATACCGTAAAAGTCGAAATAAATAATCCCAGAATATTTTTGGTGCTATGAATCGATATCAATTTGTATGATTAAATATCTTGTCTGAGTGTCCGGTGGCTGATTTTCGCACTAAAAAAGTAGTATATGCAAGCATTCGATGTCAATTTGTCCGTAGCTGCACCGCTACACGAGATTTGCGCCTTCGTATTGAGCTCTGGCGCTCTAGATTTTCTAAAATTTCCAGATTTGGGTTGTCGTTGCCAGAAGACTGCCAAATTGCATAGTCTATTTGATCTCCGCTGCTTGAAGCAGCGGGTCAATTCTAATTAAAATATAATTGGAAATATAGGCTTTATTTGATAAGATTATAAAAGATTTCTATATTAAGAATTCTTCTCTAAAGACGATTGGAATACGATATATTGGAGGCATGATATTGAATTATCTTTTAAAAAATATTCGACGACGAAATCGTGCTATCTTATTATAGATTCAGAGAGAGATCGCGGATATTCTAGTATTCATTAAGAAAATCATTCTAAAATATTAGATTCTATTAATTATGATTTTATTAGATGGGGAAGCTCTATGTATATAATTTTTTATGATTATATCTTGAGATTAGAATATATAATTCGATCATATATTATTTTGAGAAGGTGCTCGCTTCCTAGAATCATTGCCAGACGTGGGGTCCAGCAACCAAGCTTCGCAAAATGGATTATCTAATAGCAGCGATAAATATTTGACGAGAATGAACCTATGTATATTATAAAAATGGAGTTTTCAATATTTCCAGCTCGATCTATGGGTGTGGGAATATGTTGTCATATATATTGGGTGCTAAAAATGCGGCGACTATTGTATGCAAGTTAACGTTCGTTTGATATTTCCAATCTTTTGGATTCCGTATATGTCAGTTTTATTGTTGTTGCCTATGTAGTAGGTTGGTCTATGATATTATTATGACTATATTAATTTCCATATTATCATCTTTATAAATTTTAGATTTTTTTTGGAAACTCTATAGCAATTCTTATTATATTTCTCCTATTTCGAGCTCCTTGCATATAATTTTATTCTTTCAATAATCGAAAGCATTGGAAAATTAATAATAATCATAATTTTCAAATTATCCCAAGCGCGATACCACACCCGTAATAAATTGAAAATCATAGTTTTTTTTGTTTTCCCATATTTCCAGCTCTTAATATACTAAAGTATTAGTTTTTCCAATATTTTTGATTCCTTATCTATCATTCTAATGAATTAGCCCAATATTTAATTACGATTCCTTGTGAATTATTTTTATGAGATTTCTCAATATTTAAGGTCCTTATATACTATTCATGATAATTCTTTATTATATAGCACCCCATATAAGGCAAAGCATATTTATCGAGAGAGAATAAATAATATATTCATCTATATCACCCTGTCTTTTAAATTCTAAAAATCTTTAATAATAATCAACTCCCATAATTATAGCTCTCATAATTATTTTAATTAATATAGTGAATATTATGAGAGCAAGCAATATAAGAAAATATAGACATAGAGAGAAGATATCATAAATATATATTATATATAGATCTAGATTTTTAGATATTATTTTAAAAATTATATATATATAATATCAATAGAAAGAATATTGAATTTTATATAAAGCCAATAGAAAATATATATTATTTCCTTAATTCTTATTAATTATATTATTTCATATTCAATATAAGATTTTATGAAAAACCTTTTTTATTTATAATTAAGCTAATATATATATATATATTCTATTATATAAATCATATATGTCTTTTTAAAATGATCCCGTTACTAAATAATATATTATTTAAATCGATATAATAACCAGAATAATTATAATTATGATAAAAATAATCAGAATAATAAATCAAAATAATAGTATTAGTATTAATATTAAAAATAATAATAATAATTTCAATTATAATAATTATAGAAATTAATAATAAGAATAATCATATTAATAATAATAATAATTTTGCCTCCTACCTGGCTGAGCGAGTCGCGAAGTAGGGTTATAGGAGATTGACGAGTGAATTCACCCAAGGTAGGCTCTGTACTGCCAGCATGCCCCATCTTCTTGACGGGCAGTTCATTCACATCTCTGCACAGCTTTTGTTAGGCACTCACAGAACGCCAAGGTTGAGACAAGGCTCGGTATCAACCACGTCTCAGCTTCTAATTACGAAGCTCATTTGTACCAGTTTGCAGCCAAAAGGACATATCAATTATCAATTACAAATTAAGAATTACAAATTTGATGCACTGCACATTGTCAGGCTCTCAACGTCAGCCACGACTATGCAGGATACTGAGCAGCCGAACACACGGTAGAATACCGGAGTACCGAAGTACTCGGGTATTCTACTTCAATTGAACCAGCAGTCTCATCTCTCCTTGTGCAGAGGTCAAGCTTCTTGTATTCAATCAGCTCCAGCATTATTGCAGAAACAAAACAGCATCCCCGAATACCGCAGTGTCCAGGTAATCCACTCCACATTTTTCTGCATTCTATCTCGCTTCAAGCGCAGAAAAGCAAAGCCACGCGTTCAGATGTATCCCAGCTGTAGCCTTAAAGGAGTGAGGTATCAGTAACAGCTTGGTGGCACGGAAATTGGCAGCCATCCAACATCTCCGCCACTGACATGACTCCTCACTCCAGCATCTGAAAGCAGTGTCGGGCCCATTGTCGTGTTCAATATATATGTCGACACGTAGGGCCATCTCCGCACTCAGCACTCTGTATGCCATGTAAGGGAGTAATCCGCAGTGAAGCCAGCTATCAATGTTTTTTTTTTCTCATCCCTACTTTCATTCTTCCCAAAAGGCTGTACAGCAACTCCAGGGCGGAGTGTGTAGAGTAGCGTCATTTTCAGTAACCCAGTCAGTCTCGTCAATGGCTCCACACCCGCCATCTCCAATGTAAACCAGGCCAGAAAGGCTGTCAGCTGTTCTGTAATCCATATCCAGCAGGACCAGGACCAGCACGGACTGTGTATGCAGAGGTTTAAAGGTCGCACTGCTGCAAAGGTCAGAGGTGCCATGGCTGGAATGCGCAGCAGGGTAAGGTAACTAAACCCAAAAGGGACTAAAACCCGGCCAATGTAGTTCAATCGGACCCAAGAGCATTAGGGGGTGCATACGTTTGTAGTGGAATTCGGGGATTTACCCTAAAATACATCAAGATCTAAGTGCTTAAATAAAAGGTTCGAACATGTCCTCCATACCTGACAGTGGTGGTTGCAGTGGTGGGGCATCTCATTTGTGGACATCACGGTTCATCATCAGCATCCATTCATCCAATTATCAATTAGAGGGTGCAACTGAATTAATCCTCCGAATTAAAGGCTGAATCGGAACTTGCAGGCAGTCTCTTGTCCAACAGCACACCCACGTACAGGACGCACTAAGAAAACACAAACAAAAGTTTGCGCATGTCCAGTTACGCCTGCATTAGCAGCCACTGTTGTGAAACAGAATCCTCTCTCCACTGCAAACTTTATGAGGGGAAATACAATGGTGTGGAGAAAGTTATTTGCAGGGTGTTGAGGATTCTACCTTCTCACGTCAATCAACTTGATGTATGATCGTGCTCCCCTGAAGTTGCAAACCAGACTGCGACACTTCCAAAATCTGAAGTGACTCGCGTATGTGGGTCTGTCGAGGTTTCTTTTTAGTAGGAGAATCAGTAAAAGGCTCGAAAGAGCCGTCAGATTCGTCAGGCAGTGGGAATCCTGCCTCTCGCAATTCACTCTTCACATGTGGGGTTAGGGAGTGTGTGTGAGCTACGGACCATGCGAGTAGAACTACCCTGTCACCCCCTTCCCATGGGATTGTAGAATGCAACCGCTCGCGACCATTGAAGACTAAAGGTGCGACAGAAGTGTCATACACAAAGCCCTTGACTTTGGACCCCAAATGATCAACAGTTGTATCCCCACGAAGATCCTCAATCCAAATTCCTCCCCCACTTACCTTGGACAGGAGTTGGAAGCACGTTCCATATGGGGCATTTTTTGGGTCACGATGGGGTCCTAGGCTCAGGCCTTCTCGCACTGCACAAGTGGTAAATTTAAAAGACGGCACATGATGCTTCAGGTACATGAGGATGGACTGAAGAAACTGTGGGTGTGAGAAAGTTCCCTGTGCGGCTACAGTTGAAGACCTGGGGCTTGCGCCGAAATAGATGACTTTGGGGTTCGGGGACGAAGTAGGCTCAGAACTCTTAAGGTGGAGCTTGAATTGGGGTGGGATGTTTCTCCAGGTTTGTAGAAGGTCGTTCGTGGTCACAATCCTCTCGCCTCGTGACACCTTCTTGTTCAGGGCAAAACACTCCAATTCCGGTTCGCATAACTTAGCATCGATGGAAAGCGCTCTGCTAATCAGAACGCACTCTGCTGAAGAAAAGACGTCCTGGAAATACATCTCACTGTCACTCAAAGTGGTGCGACACGATTGGGGCTTTAAGGCATCAGTCATCGGGACGCTGGGTGGCTGCGACTCCAAAACGATCTGGATCTCTTGGGATTCAGAGTCTGCTGCACCGGCTTCTGAGGACATGTGGGATTCTGAAAAAACCAAGTTACGGCTGAGTCACACTTCTAGAGATCAAATGGTCATGTGTGTTCAGTGAGCCAACACAAGCAGCAACTTGCAAGGTGTCAGTCTGTACTACATCAAAAAAGACATGCCCTGAGCGCACGAGAGAACGGCAGCTTCAAAAGGTATGACTTGTTTGACATGACAGTTTGCTCTGAGCGCACAGCAACTAGCTGGCAGCTACAAGAAGCAACATCGACCCTGCTCCGAACACACATTGGCAAGCTAGCGGCTACAGGGTGTCTCATCGACTTGGCTCACATAGACGCATATATTTTCTTCCCGGCTGTAGTAGGGTTCGAGTTCGATCTCAGTTCGAAACGCACACGGGCATGCATGCAAAAGGCCCTTGCGGTCGAAGATGCAATGCCGATGGGCACGAGGCAATCTGGCATCTGAGTGCAACACTCAATTACTCAATTACACTGTATTTACACCTGAGCGATCAGGATTACAAATTAAAGTGCAATGCAAAGCGCAAATTCAAAATTACATGCAGGGATTTGTGCAAAGGGCCATGTCGGAATTACAAATTAAAATAGCAAATTAGAGGGCGAGCCCAAGAGGCATGCAGTAATTACGTGTGCCGTTCGTCAATGCTGCAGAATGGATGTGCTGGAAGGATACGAGAAATTAGTGACGACATGAGACAGTGAAAACCCTCGAACACATCACGGCAGCAAGTAAGTGGGCAATTCAGCCCAGCAGGTGCTCCATCCACAAGTCAAAATTGGAACACATCGCAAAAGATCAGCGCTGACCTGCCAGGAAATTGCCTAGACTGTTGATCAGCGCTTCGCCGCTCTGCGGCTGAGGCGCCGGAACTGGCGTAATCAGAAAATTCTGTGGTGGGGCTCGCTCACCTTGGCTGTAAAAGATCCTCGGGGGGTTGGTATTGCCCCCCACGTGCTCTGCCAGTCTGAGCTGGAAGCTGGAGGGTCCCGGTGCCTCGAGGACCACCTGCGGGGCCTGTTGAGCAACCTGAGGAACGGCTTGTGGTTGTACTTGTGGTCCTAGTGTAGTCGGTGCTCCTGCTGCGTGTGACGGCAACGGTCCACTTGGAGCCGAAGAGGTTGCCGAGGAAGGTTGTTGACCTTGGTCGTGTGAACCTTCCCTTGGAGGACGCCGAACCGGGAGCTTAGGTAGCCTCCGCTCAAGCTCTTGACTGCTTGTCAGAGTCTGTCCAACCTGGTCCTGCAGGGCTTCGTTTCCTCGCTGCACTTGTCCTTCCAGCTCGTTGTGCTGGTCCACGATTCCCGTGACCAGCCCCTCAATCCTCATCACTCGGTGCTCCACGTTCTGCATGGTGTCACTTGTCGTCTGGAGCGTCTGTTGTGCAGAGTCCGATTGTCTGCGTCCCGCAAAGACGCCATCCTCCAGCCTCAGAGTTTTTTGCATGAGCTGGTCAACAACCTCGCCCACACGTTTCGTCTCAGAGACGCAGGGGCCAAGGCCACGCACCAGGGTGATGATGTCCCGTGTTTGGCTGGAGATCCAGCCCTGGCCATCTTTGTTCGCAGTAAGCAGGGCCTCGGTCTTCTTGTGCACGACAACGCGGATCACCTCCACCTTCTCAAGCAAGTCTTCGAGCTTGCGCTCAAGGGTTGTCTGAGTCTGCTGCAGGGTTGTCTTAGCAGCTTCATCAGAGGCTTTGGCATGGCTTGCGAGCAGAGTCTTCAAGGAGGACGTGGTGCCCACTGACAGCTTCGACAGATTCTCGTACTGAGTCTTCATGGCCTCATCCATCTTTGTTGCCGTCAGTATGTTTGAAACCGCCTTGTGAATCTCTGTGAGCTCCTTGGCCACACCGTGGATGGTCCCGATGCTGGACAGAACGTCCATATGCTGCTTCTTGAGAACATCCAACTCCGTCCTCAGGAAATCCCACGGTGAGGTATCCAAGGCCCTTGGTGAGGAAGACGTGGATGCTGGGCGGCCATGTAGATCGTCACACAGACTTTGTAGGGTCTCTGCTGTTGCATCCACCTTCTGTTGTGTGGCGATCAAGGCGAGGGCCACACGTCGCTGCCACGTCAGCATGTGCACGATGACCACTCCCAGTCCAAGGAGCATGATCGCACACACGAGTGCCTCAACCCATGTGCATCCGACTTCCCTTGCACACCACACCATCTCCACGATGGCTGTGAGCGGCTGGAAGAAGATGGCTGTGTCCATGGCGAGAGGCAATGTGCAAAAGGCGAAACGGGAGCACACGGTCACTTGAAAGATCAGGCTGTCTGTCACTGTAGTCTCATGTGATGCATCCACAATGATTAAAGTGGTCGTCCTGCCCCCCCCCCTTTTCACATGTGTTACAAAGCATCACAACCAACTGCAAAAATTTGGCCTATCTTGGTGATCCCTTAACATGAACACAGTTCCGAAATCCAATTTTCGATAGACCCTGCGGAAGCGGTTGAAATGGTAGGCTTCTTTAGCTGCCTTGTCAGCAATTTCGTTGAGGGCATGTCCTTTATGGGCACGAACATGTCTAGCAGTAACTGTGTGACACAAGGAGTGCCAAAGGGAAGTAAGGTAATTGGTGTCAGGGATGTGACAGGTCGGATTGATTGTTTCATCGAGGATCTGCAGGACAAATTCACTGTCGGTAAGGAAGATGACAGGAATATGGGGACTGTGTATGCGAAAATCCTTAATCATCTCGAGGGCTTTGCACGCAGCAACGATCTCAGCTCTAATATTTGTACAGCAACCGTCGATCCTACCTTGGCAGATGACACAGTCCTCTACAAGGGCATAGGGCGCGCAGACTACGCATGCATAGGATCCGTGTGCAAGCTTGGAACTCCCATCACTGCAGAAACAGATGCATCCAGCATCGTCAGTCTCATCAACCACTGGGATAAAACGGAAAGAGCTGGGATGAGGGTCTTCGACTGGGGGATGTCGCATAGACAGAAGTTTGAAGGACTCACCTACTTGAAGTAGCATGCGACCATGTAAGTCAAGAGAGTGGAGATCATCATAGTACTTAAGGGGAACGAGTGACCTAGAGTTGAGCCATTTATTAATGGACTCCTCCCAAAGGAGTCTATTAGTGGCAGCTTGATACCAAAAAGGTGGCTGTCCTACAGCTCTTAGTGGCTCCCACATCTTTTGGATCAGTCTTGCAGCATTAGGCCAGAAGCCCAAAGATCTTTTATGAATCGATCCGAACCTAGACAATCAATGTTCATTCCTTACCGCAAGGATAGTAGTAATAGGAGATTTGCGACTCTCAGGAATCCTGGCTGCATGACCCCAAAAGCGCATGAAAGCCTGGGCGTGTAGGCCCTCCCATCTTGCATGTCCCAAAAGTTGTGCGGTCATGCGTGAGGCCCTTCTTCTGACAATCCAATTATACGCCAAAGGCATAAAAGGGTCTGAAGAAAACCTGCAAAGAGAGCCAAGAAAAGAGGTATGAAGGGTTTTAAGGGTTTGGTGAACCGACTGTATTGGCCTGACGCATGCACTCATCCATCTCCATTTGGATGTCACGTATGAATTAAGCAAATGCAACTTCTTCCTAATCGACCCAACCGGCCGTTTCAGTAGCTTGAAATGACCCCAAAAGCTGTTAGTGGCTGCAGTCAACCTAGTGCTAAGAACGGATTGACACTGAACCCCGAAACCAACCAAGACTCCAAGAAACAAAAAGGAGGAAACATGTTTGAGTTGCACACCGTCAAGGAAAACAGGTTCAACTTCTAGGAAAGGAGCGGACAAGACACGATATTTTTCGATTGACAGGGAGAGTCCGATGACCTGCAAACAATCCTTAACTTGCTTCAACATGCGCGTGAGCTGGATAAAGCTAGTGGCAAGTAGCACCAGGTCATCCGCGAACAATATATTAAAAAGCTTGGTAGAAGAGGGGTCTTCAAAGTCAGTCCGCAACCAAGTGTTTTCTTGTTCTTGCCAGAGATTGACAGTTGTGCCTAAGTAAAAGTCCACGACTCGGGCAAAGACTTCGGCGCTGTAAGAGGACCCCTGAAGTATTCCCCTGTGAAGATCCTGGCTCCAGTTACAGTCAGCCATACTAATAAGAACAGAAGAATAGGTAATAATTAAAAGTAAAAGTTCTGCCTCTCGATGTGCTCCTAGGTTCTCGAAGAAACGGGAGACCGCGCAATGACTTAGGTGGTCAAACGCACTAGTGATGTCAAGCTTAGCAACCACCAAAGGCTGATGATATTCACTAGAGAGCCGGATACATTGCTGAAGAGTACAGGAACCTTCTAAAGTCTGGGAGCCAGGAACGCTGCTTAGCTGACCCGCTTGCATTACCGGGAAATGAGCCCTTAGCCGGTATGCGAGGAGTTTTGTGAAAACTTTCCCAGGGACAGAGGACAACACGATTGGTCGTAGATCCTTCGGAACAGAAGGGGCAACAACTTTGGGGATAAAGGTAATCTTGGAGTGTAACCAATCGAGAGGAAGTTCCTGAGACCCAAGAAGAATACTGTTGAAGTACTCGACAAGGTGATCTCTTAAACCCGATTGCATTGCGTTTTGAAGAAACTCATAGCTGATCCCGTCAACCCCACACGACTTGCCTTTCTTGCAAGTACTGAGAACAGTTTCAAGTTCTTCAGCAGTGATGAGACGAGGAGCCAAAGTGGGTCCGACAGAGGTCCTCCACATCTGGATGGGGAGGGCCCGGTCAATTAGTTCTGGGGCAGAATACTTGACGCTGTAAAACCTCTTCAAATCACAGATCGCTTTAGTGCGCCCACCAGCACGGGTCAAGTAATTGCAATGGGTGACCAGAGAGGATTGGCGTCGTTTGAAGAAAGAAATGACCCGGTAATCGCCACTAGCGCCTCTATCCAAAAGTTCGGTCATCCATTGCTGTTTGGCAACAGCTCGCAGTCGGACAATTTGCTTACCAAGATTGCGTGCCTCACTTCCAGCAAGTCGACGACGGTCAGCAATCATTGAACGGATGTGGGGTGGGTCCCTATATCGACACGAAGTACCTCTGAAGGAACAAGTCTTAGCTGCGGCTGCAAGCAGCCCGTTAGACAAATCCTGCATATCAAGTTCCAGTTTCTCCGCGAGGGATTCACAGGATGCAACCGCAAGATCGGGGGAAATGATCCACTTACCACATCTGTGTCTGACGCGATGTTGGGGTCTAGTGGCGCAAGTAGGGCTTAACCGTTGAGAGAGGAGTACTGCTCTATGATCCGACCCCAGAAGAGTGTCTGAATCAGGAACCACTCTGAAATAGGACTCACAAACAAGAGGCTGAGAAGCAAGAACGTAGTCAATACGAGAACAGGATCCCCTGGAGTTGGACCAGGTAAAATCATCAGGTTGCCAGAACTCCAAGCCATGACTTTTAATTATCAGATTACTGATGGGGCCACGTTCATCAACTGTGTTAATTGCGCCGTTGAATTCCGAAATTCCTAATTCATAATTGGCATCCATGCAAAGAATTAACGAATCATGCAATCTTCTTGAATTCAAAAAGGCATCGAGCTCTGTCTGAAACAACTGCCACATCTCAATGCAATCTTCCCTCTGTTTATGGGGAAGATGCGCTGTGACAAAGAACTGTTTAGAGGTTTCGCCTTTAAGGGCTACACCTATCCCTACAGTGAAAACGCAGACTTCAGTGACGAGAGGGAGAAGGTGAGCGGGAAAGCCCATGGCAACAGCATGATGAACCTTGGGGGGGCGGGCAACATAGAAACCCCACATACCATCAAGCTTGATGTCATGAAGCTTCCACTCCTCTGTTTGGCTAGCATGACCACCCAGTTCTTGGAGCCCCAGGGCGTTCAAACCATCAAGATGGAGCATGTCCCAAGTATCACTCAGGTTTAAGAGTGTTTTGCCCTGGATATTCCAACTTGCTGCGTGAAACTGTGTATGTTTGCCTGTCAATCCGCTTTGATTGAGGCACCTCCATGCTGAGTATAACAGTCGTGCAGCGAGTCTGCAGGCCTTCCCGTGGCCGCTTCAAAAGCTCGGGCACACAGAAACCATTCCATATGATTACCTTTGTTGTCGGGAAGAAAGACATCACCACCTGCAGGCTCCTTCTTGTCTATGTGGAAGACAACTTGTACATGATCAAGGAAAACCCTACCCCCGTTCCAGACGATCTCTGGAGCAGCAAGGGGCTTGTTAGCATCCAAAGGAGGAATGGATTCATAAAAGATCTTGGCAAGGACACAAGCACGGATCTTTGCCCTGTCATCAATGGATTTGTTCTTGGTAGCCCAAAGTCTGCACTGGCTTTGCCCGCTGATACCACTCTTAAATGTTTTGCTTTTAAGAGCAGCAATGACTTTCGTTTGAAACTGCCTTAAGACTGAGATGTGTGACCCCGGGTCGGGGAATTTCAGCGAAAAGCGTACAAAGTTGGTCCTAGATGCAGGCGCCCAAAAGTCCTCTGCAACATTGTGCATGCCAACAGCCTGTAGCATATTCTTCACTTCCTCGAAAGCATCACTCTTCCTAACGTCAACCCATCCCCCAACGACAATTTGAAGGTCATCTACTTCACTGTTCTGCTCAACGGTTGGGACGTTGGAGAAGTGGGGGGACCTGGGGCTCCGGGGGCTACGGGTCCCCTGTCTGGAAGGAGTAGGCGATCTAGAGGGTTGTCGTTGACGCTGAATATCTCGGATCTGATTCTCAAGGGCCTCGATTCTGCTTTCAGTAGCTTCATGCTTGTTGGTATGTTCTTTCATCCCCAGCTCCAAAGTGCCAAGGCGAAGCGAGTGTCCCTGAATCTCATGTCCAAAGGCCAGAACATCCTCATGTGTTTTGTCTTGCTTGCTGTGCAGTGAAGCCATGGAACCCAGCAGCTCATTAATCCAGGGGGGAGGGATCTGCCCATTCTGTCTGACCAATTCATGTAGAGGTGTACAAGGGGCAGGGGCACCAGGGTGGGGAGTTGGGGCAGTAATCTCCTGTTCGGCAGCATAGGGTTTAGGGTTTGGCGGTTCAGGGCAGTCATCTTCCGCGTCAGCTTGGGTAAGATCAAAAATAGTAGGCTCATGTGGCTTGGTTACTGAGACTGGGGGAGCAGTCGGTCCTAATGGAATTGTCTCTGCATCCATGAGTTCGTCCGCGTTGCCAGGAGCTTCATGTTCAAGTTTGGGCTTCTTAAGCTCAACTTCTCTGCTGCTTTGTTCAACACGGCGAGAAACTCTCTC